TGAGGGCACAAGCGAGGAAGGAAAAGCCTGATAATGCTCAAGGCTCTTGCATCCTTGGAAAGGGTCACCTCCATCTGTCTCCTTCATGCTTGGTCTTTTGTTTGAAGACGCTTTTCCCTGCCTCACTGTGTGCTGATTTGATTCTGTACAACACGCACAGTTCCTCGTGAAAGATTAAGCCTGTCTTATCTGCTCCTCTTCAGATGTGTGGAGCAGCTGATGAGCAATGGCTTCCACGTGGATGAGCTCTTCCAGAAGTGCCTGTTTGAGGAAGATGAGAAGGAGAAAGTGCTGAGGGCCATCAGGATTGTCCTGCCCAACTACCAGCTGCCCCCTCCACCCAACCCCGAGACCTGCAAATCTTCTCTGCTCCAGGACTTCTACTCCAAAGTAAGAGCTCAGCGATGTCCCTGCACCTCGGGGGGGTGTTGGAGCTGGTGTTCACAGCTGTCCCCAGGTCCAGCCCAGGACTGTAATATGGGATGAACTTTTTAGCCCCATCTCTGCTCAATAGCCCACACAAATCGTCACCTGAATAGTCTTGCCTGCAGCCTTACAGAGGAGCAAAGAAGCTGAGGACTGACGGGGCTGGGGATGACCTCTATGTGCTGGAGGGAGTGTTAGGGGGATGCTTGAGTGTGACACAGGAACAGAGCAGCCTCTAGGGAGGCCTGCTGCTCCAGACTCCCTGAGGTTTGCCGGCCAGAGACTTCAGAGCTCTGGATTCAGAGGACCCAGGAAGATGCCTTCAGGCGGGCCTTGCGTTGTGTGCCTCTTGCAGGGACGGTGGAACTGATCCCGTCTTCTCCTCCTCTGGCGTTTGGCGCTCACTGTCTCTTTCTCGTTGCAGGAGAAGGTGGTGTCGTACCCCAAGCTGGATTTCTCTGTGGAGGAGTTGCAGGAGCGCTTTCAGCAGCAGCTGGAGATGGAGATGGAGAACACTGTAACCATCAAGTCCGTGGAGTCAGCCAAACCTCTGACCCCACAAGCCATTAAAGCGGTAAAGCTCAGGGCGCCGGGGGCTGTGTGTCTGGAGGGAAGCAGGGGCGGTTTCGTCCTTGGCACTGGTGGGAGGGGGGTGG